AATATTAAAAATTTTAAGATACAGCTAAATAATGATTAGAAGGAGACATATAGCCTTCAGTGTTCATGTTTTCTGGATTCAAAGCAATCCAAACCAAACTTCCAAGAAGTTCTTCGTATTCTTAAATTATCATTGTAATTTCTATTTTTCCCCATGAATTATTTTTAAATGTCTATTTAAGATTTTTAAATGCATAGGATCTTTTTGGTTATCTTTTCAAAAATTGGTTTCTAATTGCATTATAGTAAAATGTGGTTTGTATGAGGAGTCCAACTATTTGATATTTCTTGAAACTTGTCTTATAGCCAATGCTATAAATGTTCTATGTATGCTTTAAAAAATGGGCACTCTCCAGTTGTTAACTCTTCATGACGTTTCTTTCTCCTAAATTTAGAATCAGCTTGTCAATTTCCACCAAAAAAACCCCAAAATTAAAGGTAAGCATCCTACTTTAAAAGTTAGAAAAAGAACAACTGAATTAACCAAAGAAAGAAAATAGGCACCCAAGAGAAATAAAAACACGTCTAAACCAAAACTTGAATATAAATGTTCATAGAAGTATTATTCATAATAGCCAAAAACTGGAAGTGAAGATGGGTGCTTGAGGGTTACTGTAAATATTCAATAAGAACATGATTACCCTTGAACCTCGTGCCCAACACAGACACAGATGAAAAGAAGTTAATCTTGTTAATTTGCTGTTTTCTTGTTTAACTTGAGGGGTGACTCAAGGGTCAAAAGGATTTATGAGCTTGCTTTGCAAAAGAAAAATAATGCCTTCAAGGAAGTTATGATCACCAGATAAGCAGCCCATGGTACATGCTACATTGATGAAGCTTGAAAACATTATGCTGTCAGAGAAGCCAGTCACAAAGGATCACATGTTCTATGATTCCACTTATATGAAATCTCCAGAATAGGCAAATCTGTAGAGACAGAAAGTAGAATAGTGGTTGCCTAGGGATAGAGGAGAGAGGTTGCAGGGTGACAGCTAAGGGGTGCAAGGTTTCTTTCTAGGGTAATGAAATGTATTAAAATTGATCGTGGTAATGGTCAAACAACTTTGTGAATATACCAAAAGCCATTGAATTGTATATTTTAAATGGGTGAATTTTATGGTGCCTGAATTACGTCTTATAGGGGACAAGAATATGCCACCTCAAAATATGCTACTTTGACATAAGGATGATTTTGAGCTGGAGGTAAATGAGTATCAACAGATGTAGAAATGTGCCTTCTCGGAGGTTCCCACAACTGACAAAAAGCAGAAACTTCCGATAAAGGAGGAATGCCATAAATTCCTTCTCCTGGGGAAATTTTAAAGCCATGAAGAAGACAGAACGTCTGTGCGAAGATGGACCTACACAAACAAACCTTACTCCATTAATTTCCCTCATATATTTACCTTCTCACAATTTGCCACCCTTGAAAACCTACAACACTTTTCCTCATTTTATCATTTATACAAATTTATTGTTCTTTTATTAAGATGCTATATAAGCCCAAGTCCTAACCACCCCTTTGAGTTACTCATCACTTCCGTGGCCCAGGGTTCGGGGGTTTGGATGCTGGGCATGGACCTATACACCACTCATCAAGCCATCCTGTGGAGGTGTTCTACATACAAAATAGAGGAAGATTGGCACAGATGTTGGCTCAGGGACAATCTTCCTCACAAAAAGAAAAAAAATGCATGTTACAACAAGGATGTGCATAATCACAAATTCTATTCAAGATTGAACTTGAGGACCTAATCTGCAGGCTAGACAAGAAAAGGAAATAAGAGGCATGAGCATCAGAAAGGAATAAACAAAACTCTTTAGATAAAAAACGTTAAAACTTTCTTTAGATAAAATAGCTCACAATATGACTGTCCACATAGAAAATCTGTATCTGTGAATAAATTATCAAGTTGTATAGAAAATCAGGTTGTTTATAAACCAATTATATTCCTATACAAAAGAATAGAAGCATTCAAAAATGTAATTTTAAAATACCATTTACACTAATACCAAAAAGCATTTCTTTAATGTAGCTAACAAAAGATGTATAATACCTTTATGGAGAACATCATAAAAATTTATTGAAAAATATTAAATAAGATCTAAGTATGTGGTCTGTCTACTAATCGAAAGACTCAATATTGAAAAAAAATACCAATCTATATTTCAACTCTATCACTATCAAAATTATGAGTTTTTTGTAATGCTCGACAAGCTATTCCAAACTAGTTTGCGGAAGAAAATCCAAGACTTGCATGAAGGAAAAGAACATGCTGGAGAGACTTGTTCTATCAGACAAGACTTAATTTAAAGCCAGAGTAAGTATGATGGTATGATGTTGACTCATAAATGGATAAATAGACTAATGGGACAGGAAAGAGATCTGAAAACTACATATACGAAAATTTGCTAAATGACAAAAGTGACAGTGTTGACAGAATAGACTACTCAATAAATGGGGCTAGCCAATTGGGTGCCTATAAAGAAACTAAAAAAGAGGGGGATGGGGAGGGGGTCTGTTCCTCTCACCATTCACAAAAATAAATTACAGTTGGATAAAATTTCTAAATGTGAAAATCAAAAATTTAAATTCACCAAGCAAATACCTTTAAGACCTTGAGTTAGAGAAGAATTTCAGAAACAATAAAGGGAAATGTTGATACATTTGACTCCATTAACAACTATAACTTTTGATTTAAAAAAGAAAATCTTTAAAATGTAAATAGATGAGCCACAAACTGGAAAAAGTATTAGCATCCAAACTTCTGAAAACAAATAAGAAAATAACACAAGTTTTAAAATGTGCAAAGGATCTAAAGAAACAGTCCTGAGAATAGAAAAACCCTAGGGTCTAATAAAAATATGAAAAGATGCCTAATCTCATTAGTAATCAAAGAAATAAAACTTAAAATAACAATGAGATAAAATTTCACAACTCACGGGTCCAGAAAAATTTGAAAATTTGATAATAATATCAAGTGTCAGTGAAGATGTTGAATAATGGAAACTTGACACGCCACTGATGAAAATTTAAGAGCAACTTAGCAATATCTAGTAATGTTAAAAATGTTCATATCTTGGGAACTACTCTCCTGTGTATTTACCCCAGAAACTCTCACACGTGAATATGGAGACATGTACAAAAGAATGTCCTTTGTAGCACTGTTTACAATAGTGAAAAATTGGAAACAATTTAAATGTCCATTTACAGGAGACTGAATAAGTTTTATTTATTCATACAATGGAATACTATACAGCAGTGAAATGAATAACCAGACACATATAATTGACATGAAAAAAATCTCACAAACATAATATTGAGGAAAAAGAGCAAATTGGCAAAGCAAATTGTAAAAAATAATACCATACATTATTTAGGGGTATATACATATATAATTGAAGTATATAAAGCCAGTCATAAGCATGATAAGTGCCAAATTTGGGATAGTTTACTTCTGGGATAGAGCAGGACAGAAAGGCATTTCAAGAGGGATATATGGGAATTTCAACTATGTTGGAAATGTTTTATATAGTAATGGACACATGTCCATTTGCAATATTATTTTCTATACCCATCTAAAACATATCATAATTTAAATTTTAAAAAAAGAAGGAATAATCAAAGAGACAGCAGGAAAATGCAAATAAAAAGAAAGTGAGAGTGGTTCTATTAACATCTAGATGTTGTAAATTAAGATCAAAATCACTGAACAGGTAAAGAAAGACATACCATAATGAAGGTGAGATATATAAAGAATGTATAAGAATCACCAATGCGTACTCATAAAAACAAAAGCTAAATATTTGCCCATGATCAGTTTTATGGTTTAAGTATTATGAACAAGAACATTAGGTCCACCAATAACTAAAAAGTAATTCACCAATTTGGTCACCTGATCACCCTACCTAGACTACTGCCAGCACCACCTCCACCCCAGGCCAATTACTCTACAGCAAATCATCCTGTTCATTTATTTTATAAAATTTATCAAAATTTTAAATTGTCTTATTTATGTGTGTGTTTACTTGTTCACTGTGCTTCTTTCCTTAGGATGTCAGCTCCCTGGGAGTGGTGACCTTATCTGTCTAGTCCACCAGTGAAACCCCAGTGCCCAAAATAATGCCCAACACATCATAACCCTCAAGTAAATGTTTATTGAATTAATTAATCAATTAATACCTTTCATGTTCCACCATTTCAAAAACATACGGATTTCTGGAAAAAAATTCTCTTAGAGTTTCTTTTCTTTTACGTCTTTTTCTTTTCCTCATTTCTGCAGTCTTCATACAGGAGATAACAAAAATGTTACAAATTAAACTTAAACTCGGAACACAATACTATAATTTGCTCATATTCTAATGCTTATCTCTTGACATTAAAATAAAGTGGTTTCTTTATACCCTTTAATCAAAATTATTATCAAAAGTAACAGAAGTACCTCTGTAGACAAAAAATATGATTATAAAAATATCCATATGATAACTTAAGAATTATAATTATATAATTATGTATAATTATAAAATTATACTTGTTGGTATTTCCTTCTGTTTCATATTATAATAAATTATAATACAGCCAAACATCTTTAGATATATGAATCTCTTAATTTCATTAACTTAAAATTCAAAACGCATATGAAACTTACTATTCTAATCTCCATTACTACAGCTTTGAATTTCTTCCAAGGTTTGGTCGCCTTTTTACACAAAACAATGTCCTTATATTTCAATTTTTTTATTCCAAGTAGGGACTCATTCCTCCTAATACACAAAGATAAAGTCAGTTAAAAGGATCTGCAAGAATTTGCAAAACTACTCCCAAGTAATAAATGTTTAATGAACGTTGTCACTGAAATTATGCAAGAAGAATATCCAAAATTGTTTGTGTCCCATGCATAAATTAGACTGTGATAGCCTTGGTCATCAGGGAATAGCTGGCCTCTCAATGGAGCAAAATGTAAATCATACCACAAAATGCAGTGAGAGCTGATGTGTGCTGTAAGAAGAACAGAATTGGACTAAAAATAAAACATGAACACTTCCCTTTAAAGCCAGGAAGATAATTACATAAGAGTGACCGTCGACAAGCTACCTTGCTTCCAACACATTTTAGTCTCTTTGGTTCCATTATATGTACACTCCCAGCCACAATTACCTTCTGGATACCAAAAGAAGCTAAGCATTTCAGATGCCTCCCAAACTTTCTCTCTTTCCCCAATCACCTGTAGGGGGTCTTAACCTTGTTTTTTTAATCTGCCATGGAGCCCTGTGGTAATTCAGCCGCTTCTCCAAATACTGTAAAGTCTCTCATTATCCCTCCCTCTATTGATATTTATCACCTATTTTCCCCGAAATTTATGTATTTCCTAAAATTTATATTTCTTTTCATAACTACTTGCTAGATACTGCAAAACCCTGCTATAACATGATAAATGGGATCCAAAAACTTAAATGGAATAAAATGTAGCGTCATATCAACACAAGGCTAATGAAATGACTAGGTGAGTCTGCAGAGCTAGTTCCAGGGGTTAGAGCTCCAAATTCATTTTGGTCCTAGAGATGGTTGGCCTCTTGCATCAATTTTGATGAAGAGGATTCTGGATCCTGTGGTTGGTTGGGACTCCAGCCCAGCTGCAGCAATTCCAAGAATCTCCCAGTTAGTTGGCATTCATTTTGGCAAATGTTTTGTCTGCCTGAACTAGGATGCTTGGACCAGTGACCACCTTAGGGATCCATCCTCTGCAACTTGCATCCTGATACTGGTTGCCTGCCATTTTCCAACCAGCATGGTCTCTTCTCTACCTCTTCCCTCGCCTACCCCACCAGAATGTTTGACCTGGTTTCCGTTATTCCACAAAGTGATGGGAAGGAGAGGAAGTCATGGATGTACACTTGGGCTACTGTCTTCCCAGTCCTCTCAGTATCCTCCTCCATGCTCTGCAAAACTCTCATCCACTGACTAAATTAAACTCCTCCACTCCTTGACCTCTTCATAGAATGCCTCCTCTTAGCTCTGACTGCTTTTTATTTTGTTTATCGTGTTATAAAAAATAATATTTTTAAATTTTTCTGTAGTCAATGTTATTGGTCTTTGATTTCATGGCCTATTCATTGTTTTGATTACTTATATTAGGGCCTGTTTCTGACTCAAAACATTGAGTCCTAATGGCTGCCTGGCTATTATTTCACAAACACAACTCTGTTATAACTCATCTGATAGCACAAATCTCTCCTTTTGCTCTTTTTTATTTTTCAAATATTTTTCATTATTCTAGCCCATTCCATATAAACTAATATAACTGGAATTGCATTAAATCAACAAATTAATTTGAAGATAAGAGAAATCTTTACAATATTCCATCTGCCCATAGAGTAATGTACTATGTCTCTCCACTTATTCAAGTCATGTTTTTTAATATATCTCTTAGTCAAGATGTTTGGTCTTCTTTATATTAGCCTAAGTCCCTGCATAATTCCTGATAAATTTAATCCTGTACTTCACAGAAATGGGATCATTTTTCCATTATACTTTCTAGTTGATATGGGAAAGCTATTGATTTTGCATCTAGCCATCCTATGGAATTCTATTATTAGTTCAGAGAGTTTTCAGTTAACCCGCTTGTTAAGTTAATTGACATTTTTTGGCTTGATATTTGCAAATATCAATCATTTTATCTCCATTTTCAGAGTATTTCATGTGGAATTCATTTGACAAATATTTTTGAGACCCTATTGTGTAGTAATCACATAAATCCTAATCCTAATTTCTATTTCTTATTTTAATTACTAGCAAGAACTTTCAGAACAATGTTAAATGACAGAAGGAATAATAGGTTTCCTTGTTGTAGAGCTTATTTTAACAGAAAATATTCTCCTTGTCCTAATTTGCCAGGAATGGTTGTTGAATTTTACCCATGACTTTTTAGCATCTATTGAAGGCTCCTTTGACTACCAGTGATAATTACATTTACAGATTTCCTACTATATTTATATTGAGAATAAAATCTACATTTTCACTGCCAAATTTTTGTAGTATTTTATTTTGAATTTTTGTCTCTATAAACTGCTAAGTAAGATTGATCCATAACTTTCCATTTTTTATTCTCTTTTTATAAAGCTGTTATCAGAGCCTGCTATGATAAATTTACTAAGAAAATTTATACCTATGTTCTGAAGTAGCTTTATGTAAAATAAAAGTTATTTGTTCTTTTAAAGTACGAAAGAACTAGCCTAAAAGTCAATCTGAGCTATCCAAATTTTCTTACTGCTTCGATAAGTTCTTATAATTTAAATTTTTCCAGATAATCATCACTTTAAATTAGATTTTCAAGTTTAATCATATTAAATGTACACAGTTATCTAATGTTTGTTTAACCATTTCCAAACTTATGACTATTTTCTCTTTGGATTATTTATATTTCACTTTTTCTTATTATGTTGGCCAGAAATTTACCTAATTAATTCATATCTTCAAAGAGCTAGCTCTAGCAGTTATCAGTTGGACTATTTTAAAACCAAACTATAATTGATTAATTTCAACTTTTATTTTTATTTTCTTCTTTCTGGTTTCTTAAATTTATTGTTATTTTTCTAATTTCTTGAGTTCAATAAAAGTTCACTTAATTTTGTTTTATTGTTTAGTAATAAGAGCTTCCAAAGCTAAGTATTTGTCTCCAACTGCTGCTTTGAGAACATTTGCTATTAGGGCTTCTCATTATCATTATTTCAAAAAAGCTCTATACTTTTAGTTAGGTTTCTGTTTTGATCCAACAATTATATATGCCAGTAATTTATTTTGTTATAAAATTTCAGTTTTATTGTACTGTAAGAGAATGTTGTCTTTACAAATTTTAGTCTGAGTGATCTATTGAGCTTTATTCTGCAGGTTAAATATTACCTTTTTTTTAATTTAATGAGCGCTTTAAAAAGTGTTTAACTCAATTGGCTATATATATTAAATAAATTGTATTAATTATATTATGTGAATTTTCTATGTCCTTGTTATTTCTGTCTTTTTTAAAGTGGCATGTTAAACTCTCTCGACATTATTATGTTTCTGTCAAATTAGCCTTTTCTTTTCAGCAGTTATTTCCACATGCTTTGACTCTTTGTTACATGAAGCATGAAAGTTTATGAAATATCTTCATTGTGATTTATAAGTATTATAGGTAGAATCATCCATTTTGAATGTGAAAAGGTGGCATTAAAAAATAAGTAATGTAGGGGCGGGCCCAGTGGTGTAGTAGTTAAGTTCGCGTGCTCTACTCTGGCAGCCAGGGGTTCACAGGTTCGGATCCCAGGAGCAGACCTACGCACTGCTTATCAAGCCATGCTGTGGCAGGCATCCTACATATCAAGTACAGGAAGATGGGCACAGATGTTAGGCCAGGGCCAATCTTCCTCAGCAAAAAGAGGAGGATTGGCAACGGATATTAGCTCAGGGCTAATCTTCCTCACCAAAAAAACAAAGTAATGAAGAGATTAGTCTTTAAATGTGACCAGGACAATTGATAAACTGAGAAAAATAATCTAAAGTTTAACCTAAATCCCCATACCAAAATAAATTCCATGTGGATTAAAACATTAAATATAAATCATGAAACCATAAAATTGGAAGAAAATACAGCAGCATATTTGCCTGTTGCAGTATGAGAAAAATTTGTTCAAAAATATGTAATGCACACAAATATAAAAAGAAAATAGATATTACTATCAAAGTAGAAATCAATATATTGCATCTGCCCTCCTCTATAGGCCCTCACTTGGAGAAGAGCATCCTAAAACATCTGCTCAGACTTGAAAATTGGAATCATTACCTTTGTTTTGAACTCAGTTATACTGCTCAGTCTCCAACCTCAGGTCTTTTATTATATCACTGGTCAATGCTTCAAAGCCTCTCATTCTTTTCTCCTCTTTCAGAATATCTATTACTCTTAAATTGGACCTCCACTGTCAGCCCTCCAAATTTCACTGCACACTGAAAGTGTCTTCTGATTTTCTTTGGTATCAAGAATATTATTTATAGCTTCCAAACATCTAATTTTGGCTATTTGTTTTTAATTTAATGGGACTTTCTAATTCTGACCAATTCTCTCATTACCATGGCCTGCTTCATTTAATAGAAGCAATTTCCTCTTTTATCTTCTGAAAATATGAAGCACATATATTCCAAGCTTTTGTCCTAATAAAGGAAGTGCCTATTTTAGGAAGAATATTTTCCTGTACATTTTTATGAGAATGTTTCTATTCTGCTGTCTTTTTTTAAATAGACCACATGTTATTGATGTTTCCGTTTACTAAAATGAGGCAGATAGACCTATGTCCAGTGGTGAAAGTAAAGCCCAGTTGTTGGAAGAAGGGTTGGATTCATTTGGCGTCTCTCATAACTGCCACGAGACACTACAATTTTCTTTGGGGGCAAAGAGATTCATTCAGGCTTAGAGACAAGAGGGATAGCTTTAAAGAACAAGAGGGATAGCTCTAAGTAGTTTTACTACTTCTGTTTGAGGAACTCTGCATTTACATATACAAATGGAAACCCCCAGGATGCTCTGCTTGCTACTTTAGAGGAATTAGAAAAGCGTGGTAAATAACCAAAACTGGACCCAAAAGCCTGTGTGAGAGAAGCTGATGGCCTGGAGATGCCATTATCCATCCTGACTCAATATAAAAGGCCTAATCTAGGGGCTGGCCCAATGGCCATGGTTTAGTGGTTAAGTTTGGCACGTTCCACTTCGGCAGCCCAGGTTCATGGGTTCGGATCCCTGGCATGGACCTACACCACTCGTCAGCAATGCTATGGCAGCGACCTACATATAAAGTAGAGGAAGACTGGCACAGATGGTAGCTTAGGGCTAATCTTCCTCAGCAAAAAAAAAAAAAAAAAGCCTAATCTACTTCCTCCTAGAAATATGAACATGGTCTATTCTTATTCCTTAGTTCCATTGTATAAATATTTTTATGTTTATTTATCTATTTACACACACAGACATAAATCCTCACTCTCTCCCAGGTGGCTATTGTAAACTGTATATACTCCACCCTCTTTTTCATCCATCTTATGTATCTTAAAGTGACAATGTTACTCATTTTTAAAGTTGTTAATACTAATAAAATGCATATTACAAGTACCTTTTCAAGAAGTCATAGACAGAATGTGTTATCTCCACCAAAAGGTGAAATTTTTCATCATTCATACATTTTAGCATAACTTGTGTAAAGAATTCCAGGAATCTAGGTCTCTGCTTAAATTTCATAACTGTGAAAACAAGGAAGTTCACATATAATTACCAATACACCAAGTTATTGGTACTGAAAGGTCACTACTGCTAAAAGTCATTTTGTTCCAATAGGCAAGTTTTTTAATCTGCTTTTTAGATTTCTCACTTAAAAAAAAATAGATGAGTAAATATGGTGAGAATTATCATTTTTATAAGATCAAATTATCCTTTATGGTCTGTATTTCATTTATTTTCCAAATGTCTCAGTGTTAAGAAAGAGTTCATAAAAGTTGCCTCTAACATATGACTAGTTGGGGAAAGAAATTGCTAATAATTATCAGAATAACTAGTCATCCTAATTTTTATTTTATATTACTCTGAGTTAAGCAATAATGTTGCTCTTTCTTCATAGGTGAACTTAAAGATCACTAACACATTTTTTAATTCCCTAGTTTTGTAAGCTTCATAATAACACCATTTACTACCAAAATAAGCGACCATAAAGGTTCTATCTTTCCAGATTTTAAAGCAGGTAACTATTTAGGTCTCTTTCATTCCTTGACAATCAAGATTCTGCATTATTCTGAGTGGGTAGGAACCCAGAATTTTCTGCCTAGAAAGGTGAAATCTTTAAGTAGAAAAACAAGAGCAGAATCCACAGAATAAACGATCTTCAATAGTAAGTCAAGTGAACAGCATAGATACATTTAGGTCACCTACCTTCTTTTACAGCGCCTTTGACTGACCAATTTAAAACTATAGGGTAAAGAAATATAGGGTCCTCTGCTCCTGAGAGTTCAGCTGTAAAATCTAAGGTTAAAAAAATTAATAAGTTTTAGGTTCTGCTTAATATCAATAACCAAAAATGAAAATTCTTTGGAGGGGTTTAAAAACTGCAAAATACCCAAGTATTCATTCTAAATTGAATAAATAAAATATCAATTATAATATATCAATATCAATTGATAAATATCAATTATATCATATTTTAGAGAGTAAAAAAATCCAATAATCTCAATTATTTTCCTTTCATTTTTTCCCCTAAAAGCCAAGGAGTCCACCACCAACTAGGTGAAGAGCTTCCAAGGCATGAGTCTCTCTTATTCAACAGCTGTTGTACCTCAGCACACCCCAGGCTCAGAAACCTACCAAATATATTAACTCCATTTTTATAAAATTGTCTTTAAAAGATAGTAAAGTATAGAACACACACACACAGCACAGCCACTCAGCCAGGCTGCCTGGGTTCAAATTCTAACCCTGTCACTTTTTAGTTATAAGACCTTGGGAAGTTACTCAGCTTCTCTGTGCCTCAATTTCCTCATCTTTACAATGGGATAATAATAGTACCTTCTTCATATGAGTGTTATATAAGGATTATATGAGTTTTACTATGTATAAAACACTTAAAATAGTTCCTGGCACACAGAAAGCACTGTATATAAAACTATTATTTTTATTATTTTGTTATTGAATCTACTGTTTAGCTAGTAACATTACGTTGTGCTTCTTAGTAAAATGGGGTTTTTTTGATAATATTAAAATAAGCAATTTACATCTCTAGAACACTTTCCTTTTTAAGAAATTATATTTTTTATATGTAGCTAGACAATGACAGCTTTCCCAAAACTCTGTTTACTGATAATGGGAATAATAGAGCATTGGGTTAAATTCATAAATTCAGCTTGAAACAGACATGGAGCATATCAAAATAGAGTGAGAGATTGAAGTCAGGGAATTCTGAAACAACGTGAGCACCCAGATACATGAGAGGCACACAATAAGAGAGGTGAGGTAGGGACATGGAATTCTACATAATCAGTTCCCCAAAGACCAAGAGGCCAAAAGTGCAGCTTCCTACTTAAGAGAAATTTAAGTCCCCTTGTTCTTCCAGATTTGAAGTACCTGGTTTTTAAAAATGTGATAATATTTATCATCACCAGAAACTAAATCAATTTCTTAAGCAGATTTCCAAATTGCAAACTCCAAAATTCCAATCACTGTGTTAACACATTAGTCCATTTTGAAATTACTATACAGCACAATGACCTAAAATTAAGCTAATCTTTCACTTGAGTAGACCGTGGCTCAGATCACTCACACGTTAACACCCCTCATGCTATCCGTTTATTTCTCAGTTATATTTTTGCCTTTAGAGCAGTGATTCTCCATTTTGCACCCCCCCCCAATATATTTGGCAACATTTGCCTCCCAGTTGGTTGTCACTTGGGAGGATGGCGTGCTGTGCATTTACAGATAGAGGCCAGGGACGCTGCTCAACATCCACAATGCCTAGGACAGCCCCCTACAACTAAGAATTATCTGGCCCAAATTGGCAATAGCGTCGACGTTGAGAAATCCTGCTGTGGAATCAGAAGATTTAGGCTCAAATCTAAGCCAACTATGTAATCCTAAGTAAATCACTTAATCTTCATGAGCCACATCTGTAAAAAGCTGTTTGCAATCCCATAGTAACAGAATATTGTTAGGATTAATGACATAATGGAAAAGCAATGCATAAACCTTAAATAGGGTTTACCAAATGCTAATCTCATCTTAATCCTTTTGAAAACATATTTTCTTATTTTAAAAAACATAATGCTAAACAGAAGTACATAGAAAGAAAAAAAAAATGACTACATTGTTTTGTCAGTTTGAGTAGGTGTGTCTCCAACAAGACCAGCTGTTCATTTATTTTTTCAGGTAATAATATCTGCTGTGGCTTCTTAGTCTTGGAAGACTTCTTAGAAGAACCCTAGAAACATTGGTTAAATGTCAGAATGTACTTCAATATGTTGCAACAATTGTCATGTCAAATAACATTCTTTAAATTTATGTTTTCATACTTTCATACTTGGTAGACAAAACTATGATCTGCATGGCTAAACAATATGAATTAATAATTAATAACAATATTATTAATTATTGCATTCTTAGTAAATGCCAGACATAGTACTAAGAGTTTTATGGAGGTTGACCAAAAAATTTCTTCTCTTCCCTCTCCCTTCCTCCCAGTAACTTCCAACTCCCTAACCAGCCCCTCCCCAATACACACACTCTTCTGAAAGCAGCTGAGGGTATGTCTCTAAAAATCCTCAAAAGAAAATTCCCTGGCTGCTCTCAGAAATGTATCCCTGTGTCCCTTTTTCTTTTCTTTTTTTTCCTTTCTTTTTCCCAGAAGGAGCTTCTTTACAACTAAACTAATTGCTTTCACTGCTTTGCCTTTCATTGAAACATAACAGGATCAGTAATTACTGGTTTAAAAATTGGTGGGTCTACGCTCGGGCTCCCCACCATGTTTTCAACTATCTGAGCCTGAGAATTGACCAGTTAATGTCTCCTGTTCTCAAAAAAAAATACTTCCCAAGCCCTTTTAGGTTTAAAGGGACCTTGAGTGGCTATAATGATTTCTGACTCCTATAAATTAGGTATGAGCTTCTCAGTCCCTACAGTCTTAGTCAGAAGGAAATATCAAGGAAAGAGGCATGGGGCCCTGTCCTACAACGATCTGAAGGGACAGGGTCCTGAGTCAAGGCCTGGGTGATATAAAGGGGCTGGCTGAGGGACTCAGAGTGAACAACACTTGGTGAAAAAAAACTCTCAAATTGCCTCCCATTTAATCAAAACTCTCTCTAGACACCCCCTCTTCCCCCCAAAAAAGTATGATGGCTAAAAAATTCATCCAGCAAAACAGTGATGATGTTTGAAGATTTTTGTGGCAAACGCTTACTTGGAAACTCAACATATAATAGAGACAGAAATGGAGCTGCTCCAATTGAAACAGGCTTGGAGATAATAGTCTCTACCCCCATCCAGTCACTGAAGGGGCTTCAAGCAATTCCCAGTGCACCTCAGAAACCTGATCAACTAAGCAACATTTCAAAATTTGATCTACAAAAACATGTAACTGGGGCCGGCCCCATGGCATAAGGGTTAAGTTCAGTGCACTCTGCTTCAGCAGCCCAGGTTCAGTTCCCGGGTGCAGACCTACACCATTCATCAGTGGCCATGCTGTGGTGGCGACCCACATACAAAATAGAGGAAGACTGACACAGATGTTAGCTCAGGGAGACTCTTCCTCAGGAAAAACAAAAAAACATGTAACTGCATAGTTTCAAGGAAAGGCAATAACAGGTTCTATGAAGTCCCATGCTTGGGAGGTGGATATTAAAAAGTAGTCTCAAATATTAGCTGTCTCGTGAAGAAGACAATTTAGGTGTCACAATGAGTTTAGGAAATCTACTTTGAACACAGTGAAAAGCTCTGACACGTGTTCACTACATTCAATGACCCACCCAGAACAATAAATCTTAAATTTGGAAGAGACTTTAGAGGGCTTTTAGTTCAATGTCCAACTGGGTGTAGGATGCTCTCTATCAACACCTAACTAATGATAGGGGACTCGTCAGTATTCTAGCATAGATTCCTTTTCATTTTCTTGACCACAATTAAAAGAAAAAGAAAAAAAAAAGAAACTATTCACTATATATTGCTTTTCTTTTATGTAAATATGACAAATTAAAAACTGATTGATTTTCTAACATGTTTATTAATACTACATGACCCCTTAAAAGACTCAACTAAACATATGTTCAAACATGGGAAACAAAAAACAATTACCTCCTCTTGCACCTCTTCTTGGTCAGTAACCCCAAAGAGAGATGTGCACCTTGATGTGATGTCCAGCATCTTTTTTCCATAATTTATAATCATTACTGCCAGGTCATATTCCTTCCAGGAACGCAGAATCTAATTAAAAATATTTATTAATTATCTCTGTTGGAAACTCTTGTCTATTTTCTAGCGCCATGCATCAACTTTCATAAATTCGAAAGTCTAATTAATGTTTTGGGTCAAAGAACTCCTTTGCTTTTGTTAAAGAAACTGGAAGTTTACCTCCAGACCATATTTCCCTAGAATTAAAGCTGTATGATACCATTATTTTAAATAAAGGACAAATAACAGGAATCTCATCAGTAATGTATTCTCCATATCTCCGGGACATATAGCCATATACCTTTTGGTATAGTAAGTTAACTATTAAGAAAATATTTCCACTTAAAAGATCCAAGTTAAAAGCATTCTTAAAGGCCACATAACCACCGCCTCTCGTCTTGAGTTGCTTTCTATGTGAAATGGCACAATTACTGACCTCATGATGTCTTAGGGGGGCTTTTATATCAGTAAATGATTTACAAGACATTCTGGTTATGGGCTGGACTAGAGACAAGCTGTTTTTGGCATATTCTCCATGAATCCTAGGGAAAGCAGATACTGTCATCACAAGGGGGAGGGCCCACTCTGCCACTCTCATCCACATGCCCTATTACTAATTGTTATTCTTTGGCCGTCTCTAGCCTGGCCCTTTCCTACCTCTCTAGCATAATCTTCCACCACTCGTCTCCTTGTCCTTTAAACTAACAAAATATTGAGCCAAGTATAAAGTCTGACACTCACCATGGTTTCAGAACTTCATGCTTCCCTGCAGCTGAGGCATTTCTCAGAACAGCTTTCCCACCTATTTCTATAGCTTTACCTGGTCTTTAAAATCTGGGCTCTAGCATCAACTCCAGGAACACTTCCCTGGCCAGTAACCTGATTTGCATAGACTCTGCTGTAGTGAAGGGTCACATGAAGGGAACACATTCATTGTGAACCCCATAGGGAAATTCTCTAAGCATAGAAATAAGTTTGTATGAATTTGTTATATGTAGCTGTACTCTGTTAAGTTGATTAAGTTAGTATTTAAGATAAGTAAAAACTGTTACTTCTCATGCAGGAAAAGGATGTATAAGGTGGCTGAAAAGCAGTGAGTGGCTGCTTAAACCTAAGACCTACCTAATGCAAGGTGCTAAGAACCAGAAATACTTCTGTGGGGCCAGGGCAATGGTGTTAAACTAATGCTGACTGTGGGCCAGAATGTGGAAAGGAAAATGGTGAAATAAATTTTGAGAAGGTAGATGGGGTTAGGTCAAGCAGGGCCTTGAATGCCAGGCAAAACAGTCCAATCTCATTATAAGACTGACACAAAGGGAGTAAGTTCTGTTCTTAGAAAACAGAAATGAGCTAATGTTTGTTCTCCATTCAACTTTGCTTTCCGACGTATTTATGTCCTAGGCTCATAGAGAACTGTGCAATTTTTCCCCTTGTTTTAATATTCCAGTAGAAAATACTAAATGATAAAGAATTGTTCCAATCAAAAGAAAAATGGAGAATCAATTCTACTTAACATACCAAATGGTGAACAGAAATAAAAAGACTATGCCAGATGTTTAGCATAATAATTTTTAAACAATGCAAAAATATTGAAACATTTAAGATGATGTGTCTCAGAAGTGGCACTTCATTTGGAACTCTGGCAACTTTTAGAGGAAATACTGCTGCTTAAAGAAGAAAGATTGAGCCATCTGAAAAGATTACCAATTTTTTAAACAGAACAGAGAGTCATTTGACTAATTGGGTTTCACATGACCTAAGAGAAAACCCATATAAAAATGTGTTTATATCAAATAAACACCTAAAATCTGGGATTCAGGGCTAGTCCAGGGTTCTGGGGATACTGGTCAGGCTGGAGGAAGCTTCTGAAATGACAGTTCTCAGGATAAGAATTTGGGACAGAACCAGCTCTAATATCAAAATCGTGACATTAATACATACTTTACTTTTTAAAAAATGTCCAGAACACATTCAGGGTCATTTCTACAATAAGATCAGTTGGTTCTCAATACGATTCCTCAATGGGGGGAAAGGAGAAGGGAGTCGTGGATAGCAAGTGAGGAAATGAAGCTGCTGTGAGCTACGGGAGAAAAATCCTGCAAGGCTGGGAGAGTAGCCTCGTGAATTCAAGGACTTCAACCTTCACTGGGCCCCAAATGCAGGTCAGGAACCCTATTTATTCTAGGTCAGTGCTCTCTCCCATCTTCCACATGGGCTATCACAGACATCTTCGCAATTCTCTGAAACCCACCCTTACTCCCCACCTCCTCACTCTCAGCAAATGACCTTGCTTCCCTTTCCACAGAGGAAAAGTAGGGGAACTAGCTTACCTCCTGTCTACAAACCTACCTACACACTCACCTGCAACTATAACCATCCTTCCCTCCTGTTAGAGGGAAGAGGCGAATCTCCTGTCCAGACTAATCCCTCCCACCTGTGCTCAGATCCCATTGCCTCCTGCCTTCTTGGGGATCTTGCTCTAGTGGACACCCCTTTCCTCCTATATCCTCATCCTTTCCTTCTCCTGCCTCCTCGCATTAATAGCCACATGTTGTGGAGTACCTGGATAAAAAGAATTGGTTTTTTGGTTGGTTCGTTGGTTGGATAGTTGTTTGGTTGGTTTTTAGCAGGAGAAGTTGCCATTGGTAAGTTGCAAGCAACAAGCTACCTTGGAATAGAGTTTCTTGGTTCTGGAAGAAATACTGCAGCAGCTGCTATTAGTTATTTAAATGTAAAGTAAGCAGTTGTCCAGTGCCGTAGAAAGAGAATGTAACCTGGCCTTCTCTTATTTGAAAAAGATACCCCTCTCCTGGAAATATTCATTGACGGAAGGGTTTAGGGGAAAAAGGCCAAGCTTTTCTAAAGATAAGTAACCTTGGAAGGTGCACTTTCAGCATAGCATAATGCTAATTAATGTGTGTGTAATTGTAGCATTGGAAATGGAAAGGGGTGCTTTGGATTGTATGGGACCCCTGCTTTCAATGGTTCCACCATGTGACAATGACAGAACTAATAGCAGTAGGAAGATTCTCGAGGTTGGGGAGGGGGTAGAAATGACAGAACAGCTTTGGACTAACCAACTCTGCAATTCTTCCTCTTGCCTAATAGAAGCAGGACTGGCCCTTGCACCACGTGCACCCTTGAGATTCTTAAATAATTCTCTTCCTTTCTCACTCTGCACACTGTCTCCAGGTGATATCATTGGTTTCTATTGCTTCATTTGAGTCTATATACAAAGGACTCCTTTGTCTTTATACACATTCTGCCTCTCCTGAACTCCAAGCCTATAGGTCCAAATATACAATGGCCACCTCTTTGGATATCCTATAGGCCCCAAAGTTCAATATATTCAAAACTCATTATCTTTTCCCCCTTTCCCACACAATGTTACTCCTCATCCCGGTTCAACACATAGCACTGTATTCCCCCCACTGCCTAGGGCAAATAGCCGAATTACTGTTGACTCTTCTCTCTCCTTCCTTTATTCCCATACTCAACAGGTTTCCAGGTTCTCAATTCTATCTCATAAATAACTCTTGAATCCTTTCAATTTTCTCTCCTGCTTTTCCACACTATTTTAGTTTATTATCTGTCACCTTCCAACTCTTTCCCTGCCTCAGGTCTTAGCCCTCTCTAATTACTAGCTGTTGTGCAACCAGAAGAATTTCTTTTTTAAAAAATGCAAATCTCATTAGGTCATTCCTGGGTTTGAAATGCTTCAATGGCTCAGCTCTGACCTCAGAAGATGGCCGTTCATCGTCTGGTACCCGTTCAGTGCCCCACTTTCCAAGGAGACTGAAACATTTAATCATATCCTCCATAATTAAAAATAAATTTGATTCTTCTTTTCTCAAACTGTAAAATTATTTCACATTTTCTCATTGATTACTCCCTGAGGCAATCAGTGTTAATAATCCTATATTTGTCATATACTCTTTAATATTTGTCTTTAACCTATGTTCATAGTGTCTTGCTATAAAAAATATTTTTTAATTATCATGTAATCTACTTATCTATCTTTTTTTGTGTATCTTTTGATTTTGTGCCTTGTTGAGAAAGTTCTCCCCTGATGTCAAGACCATACAAACATCCTCGAATCCATCTGGACTTTAGAATCCAAATACCACCTTTGTCATATATTAAATTCTTCTGTAGACCCAGGGCTGGCTCTTCCTGGATTCTCTATACTATTTCACTGAACTATTTGCCCATTACTCTGTTAACATCATTTTTTATTGAAGAGAACTTATGGTAAATTTTAATGTCTATTGAGAACTTTTAAATTATTCTAATCAGTTTCAGAGAAACCACATTGGGATTCTGATTAGAACTGCATTACATTTAAATATTATTTTAGGAAGGATTTATACTTTTATGACAGTAAGTTTTCCTATTCAGGAACTTGGTGTGGCCTGCCATATGTTCAGATCTTATTTTGTGTCCTTCAGTAAGATTTCACAGTTCTTTTATTTGCATCCTTTAACATTTTGTTAAGTTTAAAATATTGTGTATTATAAGCAGTATATTTTCCCGTCTTCATTTCTAACTGGCCACTGCTAGTAGACAAAAAGAAAAAAACTTAGTTTTTTAAGTGTGCTACATATAATCACTTTATAAACGTTCTTTCAATTCTCGTAATTTTTAACTAGCTTCTCACGGCTTTTTGAGACCTCTACAATTACAGATAAATTATATTTTTCTAATATTATAAAATTGTTTCATATCCTTATCTATTGCATGAGACAGAATCTCTACAAATAATGAATCACACTATTAACAGTCAGCGTCTCCTGTGCCTGATTTTTAAGGAAATGGCTTCATAAATTTGCCATTTAGTATGATATTTGCTCTAAAATTTTGGTAAATGTCTTTATCGTTATTCAATAGCTTTCTTCTATTCCTAATTTATTTAGAAATTTTATTAGGAAAGGTCACGACGTGTTATCAAATGCCTTTGTAGCATTTTTCATATAATTTAATGGCTTTTCTCCTTTAATTTGCTAATGTAAAAAATTCACATTTTATTTTATTTC